TGTGTGGAAACTAAACCTGTGCATTAAGCGTTAAGAGGTTGTAGTAGTGGCCAAGCAAACAAGAGAATTACACTGATTATGCAAAATCTGCTGTAAGTTTGAGACAGAATATTCCTACGGAAGTAGCGCAGCTCCTCTCAGGAATAGCTAAGTATGTAGGTTTGTGTGCGTAGCCAGCGACAGAGAGACAGACAGAGAGAGAGAGCGAGCGAGCGCGCACATGGACTCAGAGTCCAATAGAATTTAATGCACCAGCATCCTGCATTTGCAACTTGTGGCTGCAGAGGCCGCTGTTAATGCTGCTCAGCAAAAGTTATATAGTCTTGCTTTAAACATGGTCATTCGGTAACTATTAGTCATGATGTTCACCATCTCTGGTCGAAATTTGAGAAACAACCGTTACAGCATTCCAGAAAAAGAAGAAATAAAAAGAAAAACAATCAAAAAAAAAAAAAAACAACAAAGAAAAAAAGAAAAACACATTTAAGTGCAAGTAAAGACAGAAAATTACCCCTTGGAAATGCCTGCAGCTATTGGAGCTGATTAGCTTAGTTCGTACAACCGGTCTCCAGACTCAAGGAGCTGCACAGCCAGATATTACAAATAGTCCTTTGATGTTTTTGACTCAAGATGTAAACTGGAAGAAAACTGAAGATTTTTTTTTTTTTTTTTTTTTTTTTTTTTTAAATCTGCATCTTTCTAAACCTGAATCTGCATTTCCCAAACCTCTACAACAGAGGTGGTGAGTGAAAATGTTACCACGGAAATATTAACAATAGTAACAATAGGGAAAAAGTGACAAACACTGGAAATTTCCGTTAATTTCTCAAAGACAATCCTAAAACATTGGAAGTGGTGTTGTTTCAGTTGTTGTGCCGCGCTACTGTATGAGAAATGAAGCAACCCTCCTGTCCTCATTTTGTTGCAGACCCGCAGCATAGTCAGCAAGCAAACAGGCAGGTGACTAATTTAAAAATGTAATTGGATTTTTAGTTTCAACTGGCACACGTGTTATTATCAAGCTTTTTATTGTGCATGAAAAACAAATCAACTTATAACTCCCCAGGCTGGGGTGTAACTAAAGCTGCAATAAACATCACTACAATTCCTTTTCCCCCCCAAGTCTACATGAGGTTTACTCCACTTGCAAATCCATTCTTACACTCTGCAGCATACGGAAGCCAAGTCGAGCTGCATATTGTCCATCATTCTTGTTTCCAATAGTCAGTTTTCAGCCGGCGCTCTAATCCATATCGAGGCCTTATCATTCATTGTAAAGTGAGTTTTGTTCCAAACTGATAAGCAGGAGGGTTAGTATGATAATCCTGTGCTCAAACTTAAAGATCTAAAAAGAAAAAACTAAAAAAAACTAAAATTCTCCAAGATGTTCATTTCCAGCTCGGCTCAAAACACATTAGTGCTATAGAGGTCTGAGTGTATGCTTCCCTGGAAGATTGTTTAAAGCAAATGTTCATTTCCAGTGAATTCTGCAAGGAGGATAAACCAATTTTAGACGACCCTTTTCACGGCTGTGGTTCATGGATGTTCTCAGCGGGTCTGTCGGCACACACGGCTCTCACTGTAGTTTTAAAAATTTAGGAACTCATTCCTCATGTCCTCATTAACCCTGCTTTCGTTAAGTGAGCATGTAAATCTGCATACACTGCTCTTGCTCTTACATCAAAGTTGTCTAAATGTAAGAGTGGAAAGATATTTATATTTAAACAATTGTAGAGAGCTGTATGTATATTTTACCTTGTATGACCTTCTGTAGAACATGTTTAAAAGTTTTGCTCAAGAAAGGGGGGTTGGGGGGGGGGGGGGGGGGGGGGGTCACAGCTGTCTGTACAACAAGTTGAACCAAGTCCAACCTGAACAATAATATAGGTTGTTTTTTTTCAACCTTCTGACATGACCCTTGGGAGCGGCTTTTGAAATAGCATCCCTACAGCGGCCAGCATACCGGACCTTGGTTGTCAAGGTTACTACAATAACGGTAACGACTTGATTAAATTTAGGAAAAGATCGTGATTTGGGTAAAAATAACTACTTCCTCAACATTAGATGATCTCTGTTGTCATGGTTACAGTATAAACTGCTGGTTTCAATTGGGAATCGAACACTGCTTTCCTGTGTCATATTCCTGAGTTTTATTGATCCATCCTTCCACCCCAACCTCCTCCTGACCTGGACTTTGTCTCTCTTTATACTACGTCACTTTTCTCTTTGCTCCTGTCATATTTAGTACGGTCACTAGATGTCGCCTAGCAACAAAATGTAACTATGGGTCATAATAACCTGCTGCACTAACGACCTATGGGCTCATTATTTACATGAGTACAGTCTCTGTCTGTAATAACAGCAGGTCAGAGAGGACTTTTTTTACTCTGTAGCTACAGAGTTGAAAATGATTTTAGAAGATTTTTCTGGTGAATTTTATAGATATGTATGAAATCAAATTACAATGATATAAGTTTTTTATGTTTACACAGTGATCGTTATCAAAATCATAAAGATTTCAAATACCAAGTGCTGTAGTTGATGTGTATTAGTCTCAGAATATGAGACTCAAACCTCAGGAACACATTTATATTTATATTATATTTTACAGAAAGTGAAATGAAATAACAGCTCAGTGCAGTTTTTGCACTGAGTTAGAGAAAGAGAAGTCAGGATACGACTTCATGACCTTGGCTCTCTCTCCTTGTTATGCACATTAATTGTAGGAAAAAAAGGATTTCAATAACAATGGGGCTGGTCGTTAGAAAACATTGTCATTGAAATTACTCCAGGGGTTTCGCAGAATTTCAGCGTCAACAGTCTTCCAGGTGAAATCCAAGGTTAGTAGCAAGACACCATTTTGTGGGACTTAATAACGTTTCTGATTCACTTTGGGTTAGACACAAAACACGGTCAGGGTCTTTTGATACTTAACATGATAATGATCAGCGGATTGTGTTGCCACGGTGTAAGCTGCTGATGTCTCAGTCACAGGAAACAAATTCAGCCAGCTAGCTCATCCTGTTATATTATAAAGAGCTTATTTAGGTGGTGACATATTGCTCAATGTTTATTGGGAAATACCAGTGGAGGTACACTACCTTACTTTGAATGTAATCCAGAAAGGTTTGTATCTATATGTATAAACAGGCTGTTAATTTGTGTCCGCCTGTGCTTGTACCCTTGGTGCATTTCTGCCTTACAGAAATGACCTCCACAGTGTTTCATCACCAGAATTCAGCTACAGACCAAAGTGTGCTGGTCAATTATCACCAGCTGTCTGCTGTGAGATCATGTGGCGCTGTTAGACCCACAATAAGATGAGCAGCAACATGCAGAGGCGAAACACTGAGGGTGACGCTCTATAGCTCAAAGTTCCCTTGAACCAATCTGATAATCTAATGTGCATCAGAGGGCACGGGGTTCACAAGAGGCTTAATGTGCGTTGAGTAATGAGAAGCAGTGTTTCACTAGAACACAGACTTCAATAAAGCCTTTTCTTCATCTTGATTCGTATAATGCCTGTTGATTAAACACTCTGAGTGATTCTACTGATGCTCTCTGGTGACCCCACCTATTTGTAAAGGAGACAAATTAAAGTCTTCCATCAAAATGTGATCAATGCCACACAGCCTCTGGCTGAAACGGCCACCGTGATAATAATGAAGCTATAACTCAACTTTACTGCACGGTGAATGAATGATAGACATTTGAAAGAAGCCAGAAAAAGATTTCCAGTTAACTGATTTATTCACTCAGTGATCGATTGATTCCTTCAATCACTCGTTCACTCGCTCATTCATCCATACTCTCTTTCATTCACTCATTTATTGATTTCTTAGTGTAACTAAAATGCTTGACCAATTCTGACGGATTAATTAGTCCGAATGAATCCAGGTAAATGTTCTACCTGACATGAGATGATAAGGAGCCTTCTGAAACATATCTCACATTGGATTCAGTGTTTTCATGTATAGCACTTTTTTTTTCAAATCTAATTTCTCTATAAAATAATTACCTACTGAGATCAGAATTAAAGGTGCCCTGGGGAGGTCTTTTTTTTTTTTCAAACAAATAAAGTGATGTTTACATTTGCTTACACTCATAAAAACATTGCTCTACGGCACTACAAGTGGTTGTAACGCCATATATTGTATATTAATTTATCATACATATAATTATTGATTTTACCCTACTTACATGTAAAGCGGGGGTTTAGCAAAGTAATACAATGTTTTTATGCTAGGATTCTTTTCTGGGGCTGGGGTCTTAAGTTGGGTTGGTGAAGAAGTGAGCCAAGTCCTTGAACACGCATGCTTACACTCTGGGCACCTGGGCGGTGTGCGCATGTAGAACGCTGGTGGTTGGGGTGAATATCAATAGGTACTTAAAGTCTAACTTATTGTTAACTAGTTAAATCTACCTTCCTCTTCCTCTTCTCTTTCTCTCTCTCCCTCTCGTCTCAGCTGCATTTACGATACATCTTCACTTCCTGTATCTGTCATTTCAAATTAAAAGCCCTCTGCAACATTGTGCAATTACAACTTCATGACACTGCAGAGGTGCTGATCATTTTCTATATTGTGGAAACGCTGCAATAGATTTATGGCAGTTTTCCACTCCTGATAGAATCTTATTTGTGACCTGTGCAACTCAGTTGAACTGAACATCTTCATCCCCAACTTTGATGCGGTAAATTCTTCTCATTCACATTCAGGATGATATCGATAACCTTTTCTGAGTGCCAGATAGGCGAAGCTCAAATGGAATATTGCCTGCGATTAAAAGTCTTTAGCAGGCTCGTTGAATGGATGCTACATTCTTATTATTTTATATCAATGGGAAAAAATATGTTTGCTCATGGCTAATCAATTTGAGGTTGCTCCTTTATAAACTACGGCTTTCAAACTGTCACCTGCCCCAAATACATATGAATAAGGACTCAGACTTCACAAAGGCAGCTTTGGCATGCATCAAAAGTTCTTAATAAGATACTTTACCTGCAAGGCACCCCATAAGTGACTGCAGCACCAGCAGTTTCCATAGCAACATCATCTTCAATTTTGTAGGGTCAAAGTAGTCTCACATTCAATCACAAATGTATGGAATCCGATTTGCACCTGCCTGGCTTCCCAATCTGTGGAAAAAGAAACAGGGGAGATGAGTACGGAGGTAAGGTTGTCATTAGCAGCACCTTTTGAAAATGAGTCTCTTTTTTTCCCGCTCAGCATGCTCATTTCACAAGGTGTGGAGCAAAAAAAGACAGCAGGACCGTGGAGCACTGTGATAGTAATTGCATTTGTGTCTGTGTTCATAGCTGCCAGCTATAACTAAACTTAAACCTGTAAATTCATGATATATTTGAGCAACTGCCATTTACAGGATTCACAATATGTTTAAACAAATCCATAGTGCAAGATACTCCTGTTCCTAAAAGTTACACCACACAAAGAAAAAAAAAAAACCAAAAGATTTCAGTTCCCAGGCACATGAACACAAAATATCTCATGTATATTCATTTCCATATTCCCAGCAACTCCAGGGACAGTCAATACAAAAAGCAAAGCCACTCCTATACGTTCTAGTAGCATTGTACTTGCTTGAAGCTTCATAGCTTTTATGCTCACAAAGGTGCAAAGCCAAAAGATGAAAAACTTCGAAACATCTAGAAGAATTTCAACAACAGTCGTGTGCTTTTCCCTCTTAGACATTATCTCCCTGGAGTGAGAATTAAAACTCGAAAGTTTGTTGAGTGTCAGGAAGGCAGGACTTCTCAGCATGTTAAACCTCTGCGACAGGAGAGAAGCTGAAAGTACGAATAAGGCTGAGATGAAAAAAAAAACAAAAAACGCAGTGTTAAAAGTCTGTCAATACTCATGAAGAGGCTTTATAATATTTGTTGCCAAAAAGGAAACCCAAACATTAAGAAATTGTTTTTGTTGGGGATGTTCTACTCACTGATACATGACAGTTTTTGACACATTCATTATCTTAATACAGTACATGCTGTACTGAGTACAGAAGAGGATTTACAGCAAGTCATCTCACTTGTCAGTGGTCCGCTTTAAAAACAGATTAAATTACACAAAAAAAAACCCCACAGCACTTTGTGTTTATGATTTGAACCTTTCATTTGCTTTTCCGCCCCCTTATTTACAGATTCTTGGCACAGTGACTACGTGTCTTATAGGCATAACATACTGTATATTGTTATTGTTTGGACATGTTAGGTGACTCAGAAATATCTTTTGGCACATGAAGTCTATTCTAAATGTTCTAGAAAACATTTTATGGCAAAAAAATTGTACTCAAATTGAAATTGGTTTTGTGTGTATGTCAAAAAGTTTTGTATCACAGTAAATTTCTGCTTATGAATGGATAGATAAGTGTGTTGATGAGATATTACTACTGCCCAAAATACACTGACAGTGATTCTTTAGATTTTATTCACTCTTATTTTTGGCTCATTTCCTTTTGTGATGAATAAGGACAGATGTGACAGAGGGAAGATTTTATGATGAGCATTTGTATGATGAACTAGAGAGGAAAACTTGTGAGCAAATTTTTGTTTGGATCTTCAGTAGCCTACAATAGAATAGTATGCACAGGGTCAGGCAGCAGTGCCTGTATGATGAACATTTGTATGATGAACTAGGATAGTTCAGCCTAGGATAGAACGATGTCTAGGCCCAATATGATTAGCAGATGCAATTAAACATTTTTTTAAAATTATTTTTCATTTTTATATATTTTTTTACTACTTTGTATTTTTTTCAATGTCTGTGAGTTTGGGATCTTTTTGAATGGTGTAATCACACAGCCTAGTTAAAAGACCTGCCTCATCCCATCCCCCTGACGGTACCCACAGAGAGCTAGCTCATTTACAGTGAGAAACTGAATGACCTCGCCTATCCTTTTAACATAGTTCCTGTTCTTTTCTGTCTGGGTTTGACCCAGTAGCTGTCTCTGACCGACGCTGGTATAAACGCTGGTATAGACGCTGGTATAGACGCTAGCGTGGAGCTGGCTAGCTAGCTGGCTAATCACTAAACCAATAGCCACCAAGTGAGCTGGTAACTTAAAAGAAACAGCTTGCAGCTGTTTTTCAGCTTGCAAAATATGCAAACTCAACTGTGAAACTATACAAAACTACTAATACAACTTATAAGAACCAGAGAAAAGAATGAACAAGAATCAAAGGTATTCACAGTTTTAATTGGACTGCTGAGAGCAGCTAGCTACAAACAGGTCTTGCAATTAACTTAACTGTGTCTGTACCGCATGTGTGCAGAAGCGTTGTGGTTTGGCGATAATGTATAGGAAGAGCACTGACTAAGCACACCCACACCTTCAATATGAAAGCAGTGCATTTTTCGATGACCAATGACAAAATTACAGAAAAATATGAACGCTCAAAGAAATAGCTATAATGGTGATTCTTTCTGAGTTTTCGTTGGATGGGCAGATGATTCCTCTGGGTGGGCAATGCCCACCCCAGCCCACCCATAGACATGCCCCTGAATAAGGATATGAGTTTTGGCACTGCATCATTCAATACATGTCTTGTTAATGTACTGTTGTGGTCCTCACAGCTAAAGTGAATTTGTGACATGGAAAGTTTTTTTCTTCTTCTTTCAATTAGATTAAAATCCGATTGTGAGGCCAGATCGAAGGTTATAAAAATTATGGTTTGTATCATTTCTTAACAAATGTATGGATTTTTATCCTCAGCTGGTGTCAGAAATGGCTTTGGATGATTTTTTCAGTATTTTGCCTTAGTGGTTAGTAGTGATGTAAGAAACAGTCAGGAAACATGGGGATAGAAGGGTATGAAATGCAACAAAGGTCTCTGATTGATCAGGGACGTTGAGGTTAGAGCTTTGCCTCTAACCACAGGGCTACTGAGGACCTCATCATAGGATTGACAGAACAAAAACAGCCTTGCGTTAAAACAATGCAAGGGGCCGCATTGGTTGCTTGTGGTAGCAGTGAGACATGAAATTATATCCAGGAAGTGGAGTTTGAGAAGCAGATGAGTGAATCTGAAGGCACAGTTTGTAATACTCAGAGACAGGATTTTATCACTGTCGCAACCTCTTTATCTTTTGTCAAGATGATGACAAGATAACAGTAGAAATACTCCCTTCAGGAATGTATGCTTGGTCATATGTAATTGGCCACTGCATCATCTAGCCGGATGACATCTTGTTGTTGTTGCTGCAAAAGCTGAGTTAAGCTTGAACCTGGACTGGCTCCATTCAAATGTATAAAAAGTCTGCATTGTTTCATGTAGGACTAAAGTCAGACTGAATGCAACTGTAGGAATGAGTTGCATTTTTTTAATATTAAGAACAAAAAGAGCCATTTGGGTGCTGCAGGGCTTAGCTTGTTGTCACATGCAGTTGCATTTTTAAATATTGTCTTTGAATAACTAGGATTGCAAGCTTGTACTTCTTAAATTGTTATTTTTCTATGTTTTATAACCCATTACAGAGACCAACTAATATGCATTATTGCCCTCTGCAGCCGCCAGAAATGTGTATGCTGCATGTGGTCCTCATCATATACATGAGCATCCTTGTAAAGATGCAATAGGTAACATGGAATACAAACAATACAGGAACCCCTTTTTCAAAACACTGCTACATTACAGTGCCATTTGTTGTCAAACACCACGCTGGGTACATTTCATTCTCCATTCCCAGGCTGAACGTTAAAACGCTTTCTAAGTTTGGAACCAATTTGAGAGGTATTTGGTTTAAAGGTGTTGTTGAGTCAAGGATGTAAATAGGGCGCAGTGAAGGAGGCAGATTTATCCAGTTTGCCAGCAACTTTGAGGGAAGAATACAAAATAAGTTGGAGGAAATGTCAGTGACTGCCTCTGGATAAGCTGTACTGATGTAAGAATTCAAGCAATACAACCAGTTAAGAAGTGAAATCTACCTTTTGCAGAACTCCTCCAGGAAACAAGCAGAATTAATCTAATGTCTCCTGGGTGAAAATATATTTAGAGTTGAGGTGTGTTCGACACAAACCTCTCCAAAATTACAACTATTTGTGTAATTTTACCATCACAAAGGAGCACAGAAGAACTCTCTGTGATACCACCCCGCTGTGATTCGGCAGACGGCACAAAGTTTTAAACACAGCGAGCAAGAGTGAGACAAAACCACTGAAAAACACATATAAAAAGGCTCCTGAAACTATTTGAATAGGCCAGGTTCTTATTAATCTCAGATTCTCTACCTTCCAGATCTGTCTCCTGTCTCCACCTACAGAAAAGAGGCCTTTCATCTTCATACATCATATAGAAGGTTGTCAGAGTCTGTCTTGGATACATCAACGGAGCAAGGCTGTGCCTAACTTTTAGAGAGCTGTTTTATGCATATTAAAGTGTGTCTTATGAAAGCACCAAACCCTGTGCCTATTAAGCTAATGCCTGGTTTGTCTGTGTTAGTTTCCTTATAACATTTTACATCAGTGATAATTTGATAGAGTGTACTGTCCAGAACGTTTAGTATGATGCACAGGAGGGTGACAGGTATAACAGCAGAGCTCTGTTTTGGGGACACACCAAACCATTTTACCCTCCAAGAAGACACAATTTAATTCCACTCTTAACAGCGGGGGTGATAATCTGCACAGTGATCTGCCATATTGCTAAATTCACCACATTTCACAATTTCAAATGCATACACTGGGAATAACATGGACATGATTATGCATGAAAACCAGAAGAGACAGAATGCAACTTGTGATTATATTAACATCACTTTGGTTCCAAGTCTCTGTAGATCCTGTTTCCTAATTAATTACTGACAAGTTAAAGCTGCACTAATCAATATCTTTACATTAACGGGAGAAATCATGACATGTAATGTCAAAACTGTTACTCATAGTAACAAACCCACAGAGAATCATCACCTGACTACAGTTCCCCTCAGCTCTACAGACCGCTTCATTGTCTTTCAGCTCATTGTTTGGGTTTTATGACTCTCAACTTTACAGTTTTCAGCAAGAAAGGTTTTTATCAACCCACTGGATACTACATGCCCAGTACCAAACAGCAGCCACACACAGTTAGCATCTAGCTGGCGAAGAGTCAGATATTTTTAAGGAAGTGTTAAAGACCAACAC